CCCTCCCTCCCTCTCTCTCCCCCTCTCTCGCTGTCCCTCCCTGCCTTGTGCACACATGCACACTCTCTCTCTCTCTCAGAATAAATAAACTTCTTTAAAAAACTGAGCACTGTTTTGCATGTTTATTGACCTTTAAGATCGCCTCTTTTTTGTACTTTGCTTACCCATTGCTCATTTTTCTGTTGGATTGCTTGTCTCTTACAGATTTGGAAGAGTTCTAACATATTCTTCGATCTAGTCTTTTATTAAGTGTGTTGCAGATTTCTTCCACTCTTCAGCAGGTTATTGTCTTTATAGTATCTTTTAAAGAGCAGATGTTTTTAAATGTAAATTTATGGTTAGTGCTTTTTGTGTCTTATTGAAGAACTCTTTATATCTTGTTAAGATATTCTTCTGATCTTCTAGAAGCTTTTATTGTTTGCACATTTACATGTGTAATCCACTTGGGATTGATTTTTGTTTATGGTTGAAATAGAAGCCAGTTTTACTGTTTTTAATACATGATCCCCTTGCACCAGTTACAGAAAAGTCTTTTTCACGACCTCTAGCAACACCTGTGACATAATGACAAAGCCTATGTAAGCACTAATCTGATTAGAGACAGCAAGTAGAAAGATTGTATGAAATCTAGGAAACAGAAGGCCCAGGTCAGAAGACGGAGCAGGGAATCCTCAGAAGAACACTGAGTTCACATCAGAGCAGCACAAAGAATTTGATAAAACACCTATTATGTTTGGATATACTGAAAGAATAGGTAAGTTGGGGAGAGAGTGGGATTGAATTAGTGATAAATAGGAAATCAAATACAGTAGGGATTGAAGCAAACAAAATATATCACTGTTAGACAAGTAAAAATGTTAGAAATAGAGAATTATTTTGGAAACCGAAGGAAAAAAGAGGGACTTGTATAAAAAAAAACACAAAACTTTACTGAGAGTCTCTGGAAGAAAAAATTGATATTATAAAGATGCTTCATTTTTCCAAATTTATGTTTCTTCAATAACATCTTGAAATGCAGTGAAGTTCCAGGGATCACCTTGAGTGGACCTGCAAGAATGGATAAGAAATTTTGAAAAAAAAGAAGAGTGATGAGGGAAGACTTGCCTATCAAATGTTAAAATGTATTGTCAACTCTATTAACTGAAGCACCATGACTCATTATGACACGGAGTGATGGCTGCATTAGAAATGCCCAGAATCAGAGGCACCTGGGTGGCTCAGTCAATTGAGTGTCTGACTTACGGCTTACGTCATGGTCATGATCTCCCTGTCTGGGTTCGAGCCCTGCTTTGGGCTCTGTGATGACAGCTCGGAGCCTGGAGCCTGCTTCTGATTCTGTGTCTCCCTCGCTCTCTGCCCCTCCCCCGCTCACATTCATTTTCTCTCTCTCTTTCTCTCTCTTAAAAGTAAACATTAAGAAAATTTTAAAAAGACAGAATCAGACAACTTCATATTTGATAAAGATTGTATCTTACATCAGCAAAGGAAAAAAAGGTTTAACAAATGCTTGGATATTTGGTTAGGTCCCATGAAACAATTTAATAATTCACCACACATAATAAAAAATACAAATAATTCACCATACATAAAAATTCCAGTTCCTAGAGCCCACCGGCCACAGTTTGGGGCACGAGCTACACTGGTGCCAGGGTCGCTGTGGCCCATTACAACACCACGACCTCGAGGCACGAGCTCTTCTGAAGGTCCCAGGAGAAGTCGGGGTGTGGGCACACTGACCAAGGTACTGGTAGCCTTCTAGGAAGAACTAGAGAAACCTACTAGTGCTTTGGGCTTCTAAAGCATCACTTTGGAGCTGCGACCCAAGAAATCTCAGAAGTAGAGCCACTTCACCTAGAATTGACAGAAATGAAAGAGAAATATGAAGCTATTGTAGAAGAAAAAAAAAACCTGAAACCAAAGCCTGCTCAGTATGAACCATCTCAGGAGGGGAAGCATGCTGCATTTGGGCTCTTCTCAGTTGAAAAGACTGAAAAAATGGTTTTGTGTGACTTGAATAGTTTGTCGAGTATGCAGTATATTTTAGAACAGCTGCTGTAGAACTCTTGGATTCACCTCTATCCCACTTTAACTGTTATAAACACATATACTTAGAAGCACCAATAAGAAATACTAAAAAAAAAAAAAGTTCCAGTAACTGTCTTCACATTCACTACTCTTCTGTGCGGTGGCCAATCTGTTGTTGGTTTTACTCAATTTTCATTTGGGGTATTGTAGCTTCACTTCTAGAAGTTCCATTTGGGTCTTATATTTTCCCTTATGTTCATGCTTTCCTTGGCATCTTTGCATATGTATGATATTTGTAATAGCTGCTTTAAGACCTGGGCCTGTTAATTTCACGACATCTGTCATTTCTGTACCATTTTGCCATTTGCTTTTTCCCCCTCCCTCTTTCCATGGGTCCTATTTTTCTGCTCCTTTGCAAGCCTGGTAATTTTGGACAGGATACTAGATATTGTGAGGTTTTGTTTTGCTTTGTTTCGCCTTGAGGGCTGGATATTGTTGTGTCGGCCTGTGTGGTGGGCTTTATTCTGGCGCATAAATGAGTCACATGCAGATTGGGTTGAAGCTGGCTTTTAAGCTTCCTTGTAACAAGTCTATAGCAGCCTTTAATCTGAGGCTAAAGCCCCCCTACTTAAGTCACAGCCTTCCTGAGAAATCTACCCAGTATCCTGTGTATTTCAAGGGCTCTTTACTTGGCTGTTGGGAGTACAGACTACTTCTAGCCTCTGTGACCTCCATTTTGTCCCACTTTCTGATGCTACTTTCTCAGCAACCTAACGCACTTAGAGATCCATGCTTTGTCAAAGACTGGAAGGGATCCCTTTGCATATGTCAGGAGCTCCCTTCCCTTCCTGTCTCTAGTCCCCCCCATCTCTGTGTGTTTGTGTGTGTGTGTTTCCATACCCAATAGTCTGCCTCACAAGCGCTGGCTGCCTTGGCGCCCCAGAGCTCTGGCGTCTGTCTCCTCTCATCAGGCAGCCGCCGGCTCGGTTTCTCCTGCTAGTG